AACCCATGATAATTTAATTTTGAAAGCCACTGAGACTTCTGGTGCTCCTGTTGTATTTCTGAAAAAAGATACAAAAAGCATGCTAACCAGTGTCCAACCCTATTCTTAAGGTAATACTAGGTAATTCTTTAGGTAATAATTAGAAAAATATTTTAAATTATATTTAACCCTATTATATTTTATCCTAATTTTTCTTTATTTTTAAATTTTGTATTTGATTTATTTTCTGATTGTCAGATTTAATGTATATTTGAACAAAGTCTTGTAAATTAATATTTTTTTCAAGATATGGAAAAGGGGCAGCAATTTATTACATTGAAATTGTTCATATTAATTATTGATGACTAATAGTTCATGCTAACACCTGACGTTCTTATTTAGATGTATATGAAAATTTGAACTAAGTGTGACATAACATTCAGAAATACAATCGAGAATCGCTTGTGGTATTTGTATAAATGAAACTGTTCTAAAATGTATTAAAATCATTTAAAATGTATAATTTTGTCATGTGTAATGTCACGAGGAAGTACAAAAAGCACCTGCTTTGTTTAACGATGGTTTCAAAAATAAAACTAAATGGTGAGAAAGCTATTTTAATGCCAATTAAAATTTTGAAGTTAAAAGAAATGATTTACGTAGCTTGATTAATTTTAAGCAGATGCGCTCGGTGCTGTAAGCACTCCAGGCTGCAGATGGCTCATTCTGTCTCGCTGAGCTCCATACCTCCTCCCTCTCTCAGTTCTGCCTCTTCTCTAACGGAGCTCTGTGGGCGGGGGGCAATTTTCTCAGCGACCTGCTGATCTGCTTCACACCACAGGAAGACAGGAGAAAGTGATTTTCCCGTACGTGTTATGTTTACAAAAATAAAGTGTTCAAAACATTTAAAAATTAAAAAAAAAACGTACAGCATACACAGAGATTCTAAGCTGATAACGAATAAGTGTTTTTTTAACTATCTAAACCAGGGGTGGGCAAACTTTTTTGGCCCAAGGGCCACATCAAATTTTGAAACTGTATAGCGGGCCACTTCACACTGCTGTTACAGATAGCCTATGTATATATGCACTATATATATGCACTTATATGCACTATATAAGTTTAGAATCCAACATAGGCTTATTAGCTCAAGGAAAATGCTAACCTGAAAGAAAAAAATATTTTAAATATAAAAAAATAAAAACTGAATAAAACTTGACATTCAACACACAAGCCAAGTCTTC